GCATTGGAGGCTGGAACTTTCTCCTGAGACGAGGGGGAGCTATGGAGAATGTCAGGGCAGGGAAAGGTTGTTGTTGTTGTTCCATGCCATCAAATCGCCTGCAACTCATAGCAACACTATGTACATTAGTTCTGAGCCCTGCCCTGTCCTGAGCTAATCTCATTATCTCAGACAGACCTAATCTCATTACCCCAGTCACTGAGTCAATCCATCTCATCCAGAGTCTTCCTCTCCTGCGCTGTCCCTCCATCCTTCCTAGCATGATATCCTCCTCCTAGGACTGGTCCATCCTCGCTACATGCCCAAAGTATGTGAGACGGAGCTTCAGAATCCTTGCCTCCAGAGAAAGGTACATTGGAAAAACTCCTTAGGGAACAGAGTTGAGGATTAGTGCTTCCTAGATGATAAAGGGTCTAGGGTCAGATGTGGCCCTGCACTCCCTTAGCCCCTGTGGTAGCCACGTCAGTGCCCAGCAACCACCCATGGTAGGCACAGATGATGTTTTAAGAATGAGGAATCAGGAGGCAGTCTTTGAGGCCAACCCACCGTCTTCCACAATCTGTAATAAAGCGCTTATGGATATTGGGGGGGGGAAAAGTGATATCAAATCACTCTCCTTCTGTACTCAGGACTCTCCAATGGCTCCCTATTGCTCTTGATGTAAAACTCCTAGGCCTCCCTACAGTTCAGACAGCTGCCTGTGGTCTGGCCTTCGATCCCACACGGATGCACACTACCTTTGCTGCAGGCCTGTTGCTTATTCCTGTTGCTCTCTGTATATGGAACTCACTTCCTGTCTCAGTTCAGAGATCCCCACTCCCACTTCTGCCCTCTCCTCCTGTGATCTCCCTCACCCTCCATCATCTGGAGCTGCCCTGGCTGCCTTGTGTCTGTGAATGTCGGTGAGGCTGGGAAGGAACAAGAATCTGCCCGAGCGTCTCGTCTTCCAGGACCAGAACTCAGGCCAAGTCCGGCCTAGCCCTGCTGTCCGTGGGACCCCGGGCGTGGGGGGCATTTTCAGAGTCATCTTGGCACTGGGGCCTCCAGGCCAGGGCCCCCTTCAGGTCTCCAGGGACCTATTGGGGCAGGGGCAAACACATCCCAGCCGTGGGAACTCGGCTGATTCTGGCTGGAGTTTAAAATTAGCCCTAGAGGTTAAATTTAGCAGTCTAGGCAGGAGCTGGCGGTGCTGGGGTGGGGATCTAACAGGCCAGGCTCTGCCTGACTGAAACCACTGGGAACAGTCCCCAGGATGAGCCTGGGGTCACACAGTAGGCTCTACATTGCAGGGGAGAGTTCTCTGCACCCCTGAAACCACAGGACTCCTACTCAGATCTCTTAGGCTGGGTCCAAGAAGACGAGTCTGTCTTTCCAGATTCTCTTCATACCCACCTTGGGAGTCTGTCAGCTGCCCCGTCACAAGTCAGCAGACGGACGTCTAGAGAGGAGCGTCCCTTACATAGCGCCTCTCCAGGGACTAGTCAGAGCTGGAACCGTGCAGGTCCGTGTGACCCTGAGCAGAAAATGGTCAAAGTGACCACAAAGTGAGACCTAGGAGCCTGACAGCTGCCCTCATCTGGAACCCCACCAAGGAGGTCCACGAATCCCATGAGGAAAGCTCAGGATCCCTTCCTAGCAGAGCAGACACTGGATCCAAACCCAGTCTGAGGGAGATCTCTACACCGGGGCCTGGCCACACAGCTGCCACCTCGTGTGTGTGTGTGTGTGTGTGTGCACGCGCGTGCACACACACAGTTTTTGGTTTTTCCCAGAAATTAAAACAAACGTTTTAAATAATCTATAATCACTAAGGCTGCTCTGGTGGCCACCTGGCAAGAACCTGGGCTCCAATCCAGAAGGCATGCAGTTCAAAACCAGCAGCTGCTCTGTGGGAGAAAGATGGGCCATCTCCCATGTGATTAACTGCCTCTGAAAACCCGCTGAAGGGTCAGCTGTGGGTCGGTTCCAACTCAACGGTATACAACAACATAATCACTAAACGGAAAAGTTAGAAAATTCAGACAATCAAAACTGATCAGAGGCCAAATATTGTTGAGTCCATGTATATAGGACATGTCAAATCTGTAAAGACGGAAATTGAATTAGTGCTTGCTGGGTGTGGGAAATGGGAATGTTCACTTGGTGGGGGAACTCCTACAGGGTGTCACGTTGAGGATGATAAGAAAGTTCTGGAACTAGACAGAGGTGGCAGTTGCACAGCCTTGTGAATATACTAGCACCCACTGTGGTCAAGTTGACCTACTCCTGGCTGGCACCTCCAGGGATGCCTGTGTAGAATGGTGCCAAGGGGTTTCCATGGCTGATCTGCGCAGGCGTGTCACCAGCACTTTCTTCCATACCTCCTCTAGTTGCTCAAAATTCTCACCCTCCAGTGAGCAGCGAGCCGTTTATGACACGCACGGTCCTTCAGATTATACTAAATGCCACTGAATTGTTCACTTTCTATATTATTTTACATTTTTAAATTAATTTTAATGGAAGTTTAAAGAGACTTAGGGTTTCCAGTCATTCATTGTTGCATTTTTCTTCTATACACCCCCTCTCCTGAGTCACTCTTCTCCTTGAAAAGTAAAAGAAAAACTTAAAAAAAACCTCTTTTATTTATTTTTTATTGTATTATTTTTATGTGTACGGTCAAATCAGATCTGACTGGTACAGGAGAAGATTGCCCCCTCCTTCTCCAGCAGAGCATCTGGTGGATATGAACCGCGTACCTCTAGGATTGCAGTGCAACATCTTGCCACTAGGCCACCAGAGATCCCAAGAAAAAACTCTTTCATTGCTCTGCAATCCTTGCCCCCAAGTCCACTCCACTGTGCAGCCTTCATTCTGGACTCCTGTCATGATAATAATAACCAATCATATATCTCTTCTAAATAGTTCTCTCCCTCATCTATCAATGCAGTATACATCATTCCTCCCCTCCTCTGTCTTCCCTCAACCTTGATGTCAGTCCCATTTTACCACAGTGGCCCTCTGCAATATTTGTCCTTTTGTGACTGAGATATTTCACTCAGCATGATGTCCTCCAGGATCATCCATTTTAAATAATATTTCATGAGTTCCTTGTTTTTCAATGTTGCATGGTATTCCATTGTGTGAATATACCAGAGGTTCTCTATCCATTTGTTTGTTGATAGGCACTTTGGTTGTTTCCAACTCTTTGCTATTGTGAACAAAGCCGCAAAAGCATGGGTGTGCATCACTTTATATATTATTTTATGCTACCTTATGTTACATGAATTGCACATTAAGAAAAAAAAAGAGGAGAACTCACCCTAAATCCTCTACTGGGAATTGTCCGCTACCATGGGCACTTCCTTCCAGCCCTCTTTCCATTCTGTGTGTCTTGCTTGCTGGTGAGGAAAACACACCGCATTGGGTGGTTTTGGTGTGTGCACAGACCCTTCCCTCCAAACCAGCTCCCCGTGTAAGTCCTTCTGTGACCCTGACCTCCTGATTCCTTCTGCCAGCCGCAAGCACTGTCCCCCAAAACCACAGAGTCACCCTTGGTGCCAACATTCATAATCTCCCCATTTGTTTACATCACCTGCTGTGTGCCAGGTACAGCTCAATGCCTTGAGTGGGTGAATGCATTTTAACATTTTTTAATTATGGGAACTGTGTTATTGTGATAAACTATGTTGTTGTTGGGTGCTGTGGAATTGACTTCGACTGTGGACAACAGATCAGAACGTTGCTCTGTCCTATCCTGTCCTCGCAATCTTCTGTCCTCCAGTCCGTTATGAGTCATGGTGTCAGTCCATCTGGTTAAGGATCTTCCTCTCTTTCTCTTTCCCTGACCTCCCACCATTTCCAGCTGGTGTCTTGACATAAAATTTACCATTTTAGCCATTTCTTTTTTTAAAAAAAATAATTTTAATGAACGTTTACAGAGATTTTGGATTTCCATTCATTCATTGCCATTTTAGCCATTTCTGAGTGAACACATCAAACACATTCACAATTCCTGTAACCATCATTACCACTTATCTCCCTAGCTTTTTTTTTTAAATTGTCTTGAATAGCAACTCTGTACCTACTAAACAATAAACTAGTTGCTGTCAAATTTATTCCAATTTATGGTGACCTCATGTGTATCAACGCTCATATATATGCTCCAGGATTGTCTTTCAGTGGCTGCTTTTTCGAAAGCACACTTGCCAGGCATGTGCGCGCGCGCGCGCGCGTGTGTGTGTGTGTGTGTGTGTGTGTGTGTGTGTGTGGTGTCTCAGGGTGAGTTCAAACTTCCAGCCTTTTGGTTAAGCACCCAAGTGAGTTCCTGGTTTGGACCACCCAGGGATTCCTACTGATCAAGACCCTTTCTGGACCCCAGGAACCACTTATCTACTTTTGACCTCTATGAACCTGCCTATTTGTGGTACCTCATATGAATGGAATCACGCACTATGTAGCCTGAGCTCTTTCTCTTAACATGATGCCTTCAAGATTCCTCCAATGATGGCCACTTGGGTTCTTTCCGCTATTGGGGCCTTATGAGCAGTGAATGTTGAGGTACAAGTTAGAGTTCCTGCTTCAAGGTTAACCCATTTAATCTTCAGACAACACTGAGGACTGGGTGCTGTTATTGTCCCCACAGTATTCTTGGGGAAACTGAGGCCCAGGAAGGTCAGGTGCCATGAAACCTACAGTTTCCAGGGCATGGGCTCCATGGGCTCCGTGCGCTTTGCTCTTTTGCCTGTGGCCAGCTTCCTCTTCCTGCAGGCTTGATCCATGAATATTTATTGAGCATTTCTGCCCCCTCGGGCTGATCTGGGGCAGGGAATGCCATGGTCTCCACAGCACACCAGGCTGCATTCTTTTTCCCTCACCTTATTCTCTTCACCTCACTTCCGTGCTTGACCGGAGGTCTATGGAACTGGAGGGTGATGGGACTTTCTGGTCCTGTTCTCTACCTCCTCACCTACTATCCTCTCTCCATTTTCTCCCACCAAGTTTGCACCGCCCAGCCCGGGACCATGGGAAGGAAAAAAATCCAGATCTCACGCATTCTCGATCAAAGGAACAGGCAGGTGAGCTCCTGAAGGGAGTGAAGACAGGGGCCAGGGTAGAGCATTGTGAAGAGGGCACTGTCCGGGCAAAGACATGATGTTTGAAGACCTTCAAATAAAAGTCATGGTTTGAACCCAGAGCATGAGGATGGGCCTGGGTGTGGCATCAGGAATTTTAGATTTAACAGGCACAGCCAGAGAGCTCCTTGGAGGCAAAGATGATAAAGCTTTGTCTCACATACTTCAAGCATGTTGCTAGGAGAGGCTATTCCTTGGAGAGGGACATGATACTCAGAAAGGTGGAGGGACAGTAAAGGGGAGGAAGACCCTCAACTAGGTGGATTCCACACAGTGACTGGAGCAATGGGTAGCAATGGGTGTGTCAGAAAGTGTGAGGATGGCACAGGATAGGACAGAGTTCAGATCTGTTGTTCATAGAATCACTGAGTTGTACTCGACTCACATCACCTATTCTCTGATGGTAGGGTGAAAATCATAGGTGAGACAGAGCTGGACAGAGACATGCCCAACCCTGTGGGTGTCAGGGTGGGTCAGAAGAAAGCATATGAGCAGGGGAAGTCTGGAGAAGAAGCTGCCTGGGAGGACAAGGGAAATATCTCCAAGGAGTGGCCATCTGGGTTGGGTTTTGAAGCATAAATAGGAGTTTACTAGGTTGCAAAAGCAGCACGAACAGAAAAACTATAACTGAGGCACAGGCATGTCTGGGGAACACCGAGGCCCTTTTACATTTCTCATCCCTAACCAAATTCACGTGTCCTCCCATCCCTGCCGACTGGTCCAGGTGACATTTACCAAGCGGAAGTTTGGGCTGATGAAGAAGGCCTACGAGCTGAGCGTGCTCTGTGACTGTGAGATTGCGCTCATCATCTTCAACAGCGCCAACCGCCTCTTTCAGTACGCCAGCACAGACATGGACCGCGTGCTGCTCAAGTACACGGAGTACAGCGAGCCCCACGAGAGCCGCACCAACACAGACATCCTCGAGGTATCCCCCCAACACCGACATCCTCGAGGCATCCCTCCACCCACAGCGCCCAGCACGCACTGCGCAGGCCCGGCCCGGACGCTGCCCGCTTTGCACATAAGTGTGGTAGGCGTTGCATCTGGTGAGAGCAGGTTTGGAGGCACAGAGGGCAGCAGACCCCTGCGCGCTGAGGCTCACCGTGTGCCTTGCCCACGTTGCGCTTGTCTGGTGAGCTGCTGGTCAGCTGCCTCTGCAAGGAGCCGGGGAGGCTCTAAGGCGTTCTGGCCCCCTGCTAAGGCTGGGGCTCCGGTGGTATAGGCTTGTGGGGAGCTGAGAGGCTGCCCCTCTCGGGCCGGGCCGTCACCATTCAAATCGACCTCCTAAGGAGCACGATGAGCTTTGTCTTCCTGTGTGATTTACAGCCTCAGAAAACCCACTGCATGGTCAGCCACGAGTTGGTTCTGACTCAGTGCCAATGAGTGAGGGCCAGGGTCACGCAGCAAGTATGTGAGGAGGCGGAATTAGAACCAGACCTGTCTATCTCCAGGAAGTGTGGTCGTAGGCTCCTTTTGAGATAAATTGGGAGAGAGAAGAAAATAGAGATACCAGAGAGTATCAGAGGCAGACACAGAGAAGGAGGTGGAGGGGGGGGATGGAGAAAGAGAGAAATAGGGAATGAGAGACCAAGAGAGAAGGGAGGAAGACACACACAGGGAGACAGAGGGGGATGGTGGGGAGTATTGAGCTCGTTGAGATTGTCCCTCTTGGATTCCACTCCCATCCATAGGCGGAGATGAAGGGGGAAATTGAAAGAGACAGAGAGGGAGAAAGATGGGGAGACAGTAAAAGAATCGGTGTACCAGGACGTCCAGGACCTCGGAGGGATTTCTGCCCGAGTGTCCTTGGAGCAAGTGGCCCAAGCACTGGCTGGTTTGGTCCCATACTACTTGGGGTGGGTGAGGTTGTCGTTAACGTGTGATCTCCACCTGCGATGTAGAAGCTAAGACGGGCTGGGGTGAGCAGTGGAGCTAGGACTGCATCTCAAGACTCCCAGCGTCTAAGATCACAAAGAGGCAACCCCCACAAAGCTGTCCTTAGATCCTCATTCTGGCAACACTTATTAAGCACCTAGGGAGCTCTGGTGGCCTAGTGGCAACAAACTGCACTGCAATCCCAAAGGAACATGGTTCGAGGCCACCATCTGCTCTGCAGAGAAAGATGGGCAATCTCCTTCCATATGATTAAATGCCTCTGAAAACCGCTGGAGGATCAGCTATGGGTCGGTTCTGACTCCACAGTACACAACAACAACAACTGCTGTGTGCCGGGCTCTCTGACCGTATGTGTAGATAGAATGAAGATGCCTGGATGGTGTTCAGGACTAGTTTGGGACAGAGCCAGCAGGCCTGGGTGGACCTCAGCCCATGTTGTGTGACCATGGCAGGTCCATTGTCCCCTGGTCCCCAGGAGGGACAGTCCCTTCTTTATTTTATAGCAGCGCTTGGCACAGTTGGAATTCCACACATGGTAACTCAGTGGAACTTTTAGTCACTGGAGTTTTCCTGGAGCAAACAGTGCCTACACTCCATCCTCCCCCACCCCTATACAATTGAAACTTAAACAAAAATAAAACCCCACTGCCAGAGGGATGATTCTGAGTAAGGTAGGGCAGAGCAGAACTACTCTGTAAGGTCTCTAAGGCTGCAGTTTTTACAGACATCAATGCCATATCTTTCTCTCATACAGCAGCTGGTGAGTTCGAACTGCCAACCTTTGGTTAGTAGCCAGGCACTTTAACCGGTGTGCTACAAGAGTGCCTCTAATGAGAACTTACTGGTGGGTAACTCACTAAGATTTTGATTGCTGGGGTTTACCTGGAGCAGGGCTTGCCTGCACTCTATTCTACACATAATTGAGACTTACTAGAGGGTAATTCAGGGAGCTCTGGTGGCCTAGTGGTAAGAAGATGCGCTGCAGCCCCTAATGCATGCAGTTCAAATCCACCAGCTGCTCCAGGGGAGAAAGATGGGTAATTTCCTCCCATGAGATTTACTCCCTCTGAAAACCCACTGGAGAGACAGCTATGGGTCGGTTCTAAATTGATGGCACACACCAAAAGATGGTTATTCAGGGAGCTGTGGTGGCTTAGTAGTAAGGAATTATGTTGCCAAACCAAAGTCCCACAGTTCAAATCCACCAGCAGCTCCAAGAGAAAGCTAGGCAGTCTCCTTCTGTACAATTTACTGCATATCAGTAAGACGGTGGTAATTCACTGGGGTTCTGGTCAGTGCTGGAGCATGCCATGCTTGCATTCTGCCTCTGCCATGGAATGAAAAGGGAGTGGTCTCTCTCCCTGTCCTCAGTTAGTTCTGTGGCTAGGGACTTGAGGGACTCCCTCATTGTCTCCTCTCCCTACAGACATTGAAGCGAAGGGGCGTGGGCCTTGATGGGCCAGAGCTGGAGCCAGATGAAGGATCTGAAGGGTCAGGAGAAAAGCTGCGGAGATTGGCAGGTGACGGGGGCAACCCAGCCCTGCCCCGACCCCGGCTTTATGTAAGTGGCTTGTGCCTCACTGTGAATGGGTCCTCACTTCCTATGATCTGGTGGGTGAGGCTAAGAGAGGGACCTTGGGCTAGGAGATCCTAGAGTTTGAGGGTGGGTCTCAGCTTCGATAGGTAGAATCAGTTTCCTAGAAAGTAAGCCTTGTAGGTGGGCTTTGTAGGATGATTAAGAGATTGATAGACCATTTAATTTCTTCTTGGTTTGATTCATCAAATACCCTGGGTGCACACCCTATGCTGAATAAGAAGCCTCAGCTCTGTGTCAGTTACTGAACCAGATGCGGTTCTTCAAGCCCTGAGGGGTTCTGTGTGCAACAGAGAGAAGGGTAGGCGAAACCCAGAAGGAGAAACAGCAGATCTCTGATTGATGTTGGTCTGTGATCTCCTTGGCATTTCCTCCCTAAGATTTGGTCCTGGAGAGGGTGAATCCAGGTTGATCCTTGGAAGCAAGGATTCTGAAGCTCCATCTGACATACTTTGGGCATGTTGCAAGGAGAGACCAGTCCTTAGAGAGGGACATCATGCTTGCCAGAGTAGAGGGACAGCGCAAGAGAGGAAGACCCTGGATGAGATGGATTAACTCAGTGACTGGGGTAATAGGGGTAGATGTATGAAGGTGATGAAATTGGCTCAGGATAGAGCGGGGTACAGAGCTGTTGTACATAGGGTCACTATGAGTCAGAGTGGACTTGATGGAACATAATAACAACAACCTTCCTTCCACTTGCCCCATCTAATCAGTCCTTCCTTCCTCTGCCACAGCCAGCCACCCCCACAATGCCCAGCCCAGACATGGTCTATGGGGCCCTGCCACCACCTGCCTGTGACCCCAGTGGACTCGGGGAGGCCCTCCCCGCCCAAAGTCGCCCGTCCCCCTTTCGGCCAGCAGCCCCCAAAGCTGGGCCCCCAGGTAAGTGTGGAGATATGGGCCCTGGGGAGGGGTAGCAGGGGTTCAGGTGACCTGTGGGGAGATCTTGGCACTGACACCACCGTCTCTGGAGGGACCTCACGCTGCTATCTCTGGGGTATCCCTCCCCTAGGCCTAGTGCATCCTCTCTTCTCCCGGAGCCACCTAACCAGCAAGACACCACCCCCGCTGTACCTGGCAGCAGAGGGCCGGAGGCCAGACCTGCCTGGGGGCTTGGCTGGGGGCTGTGGAGGGCTGAGCACCTCGGTGAGTAAGGGGAAAGGCAGACAGGACTCCTGGGGCAGATGGCCTCGGGCGTGTGCTTCAGTTTCCCCCCCTCATCCCCTCTCCCCACAGAGAGGTCTCTATGGCAGCTTGCAGAGCCCATGTTCAGCCACAGCTCCAGGACCCCCGCTGGGGGGGTTCCCCTTCCTCCCCACTGGACCCCCAGGTATGCACCATTACCTCCCGGGCTCAGCCGCAGGAGGCCCCCCACCCACAGAGCTGAAGGCTAGCCCCTGGGGTGGATTAGGTTTGGGCTGGGGGTTCTCCAAAGCCCAGGATTCAGTCCACTCCTTCTTGCCTCTCAGAATATGGCCTGGGAGATCCCCCGCCACCCCCTGGCTTGCTCCAGCCCCCTGCCCTGGCCCCCTGGCAGCCATCGAGGGGAGAAGGACCCCCAGCTGCCCCAGCCCAGCCCAGGTAGGTGTTCCAACTGTCCCCCTCCCCACAGAGATCCAGGGTTGAGCCCCTCCCGTCCTCTGAAACCCAGCCTCGTTTGCCCCCTAGTGTCCACTCCTGGCACTGCGAGCCCCTCCCACCGTCTCCGCCCGGGATGGGCGACTATTTTGGAGGCCCCAGGAGGGCTGCCGCCCCCTCCTTTCCCAGGGTCCCTCCGACGAGCCTGGGCCCCCTCCCGTCCTTCTTCGCTGAGCTCATACCCTTCTTTTTTTCTCTCCTCCTGCAGCGGGGGCCGCGGCCTGGGTGAGGAGGGCCCCCCCGTACGCGGTGCCTCCCCTACATCCCCCCCAGTGAGCGTCAAGTCCGAGCGCGTCTCGCCGGCCCCCGGGGGCCCTGGCGATTTTCCCAAGACCTTCCCCTTCCCGTTGCTCCTGGCTCGGCCCCTGGCAGAGCCTCTGCGGCCCGGGCCCCCACTGCGCAGGCTGCCCTCCGGGGACGGCTGGCCTCGGTAGGGCCGGATGGACGTGGCCGGGCACCCACGCAGGACGGGTGAAGGATGAGGGACCCCAGCCTCCGGGCCTTCTCTGACCCAGCAGTACAGCACCCTCTGCGTGGGGGGCACGGGGTCCTGGATTCACCCACCATCACGGGCTTGCCTCTCCCTCCCACCCCTGTGTGTGTGTCTACCAATAAAACACGTGCGGCGTCAATGGGGGAGATACTACCTACCTGTGGGCGCCCCAGAGCCTCGCCTGCTCTTCAGCACCTGTTACAGTGTCCCCCACCAGAGGGACCCTGAGACTTGAGAGTCCATAGTGTATGAGAAATGACCCATAAGAGATGGGGATGTGAGACACTCAGAGGTCCTTTGCAGGAGAGAACCCCATTTAAAAATTATTATTATTATTATTATTATTAATTATTATTATTATTAGCGTGTGTGCCGTCAAATCTGATCTGACTGGCACAGGAGGAGATTGCGCCTCCTCCAGCAGAGCGTCTGGTGGATTCGAACAGGAGAGAACCCCTTAGTGAACCCGCTGAGGACGCTGGGTGATGGATACCACAAGGGTAGCCTGACCGAAGGAGTGAGGGGCTGGGGGTTTATCCCCACTGTGGTCATTAGATAACCCCCTCACTGCTGGCTACTGTGTGTTGTGGGCCGGGTCAGAGGCTCCTCCCCGCCCTCTCCGCACCCACAGCTCCACGTGTCTCCAGTGCCCTGAGCCTGAGAACGTCTTGCAGCTCCAACGCCAGTCCTCCGTCCTCTCTCAACTCTGAACTTGCCTCCTTTGAAAACTCCTTCCCACGCCCCTGAGCCCGGCCCACACCCCCTCCTCTAGGAAGCCCTCCCAGCGCCTCAAACGGAAAGATGGCCCAACCGCTAACGTCAGCAGACAAGTAGTGTGTTGGGTAGACGTCACGGATCTGGACAGGAAAGTGGAAAATAAGGAGTTTGACGTCAATGTTTATAAGAGCCCGCCCCTCCTCCCAGCGTGCTGCACAAAGCAGATTGACTCAAATCTG